GTCTACGTTGATATCAAATCGGCTGTCAGGAAAGATTAAAACAGTCCCCACAGCATTACGTGAATGCTCATCAAACTTGCAAATCAGGCTGCTAAGTATGACCTCATACAAACAGCTGCAAAGCAAAAAACCATCCTCTATATAAATGAGTGCCTTACCAAGCAGCATGGATCCCTCCTCTACAGACTGCATCAAATTCGCAAACAAAACCCAGGTGTTATTAAGCAGTGCTACACTAGGAATGGAACGATCATTGTAAAGAAGGAAAGAGCAGGAAGAAGATATGAAATAAAGTGTGACCAACAACTACTGACCTTTAATGACTGTGGCATATCTGAAAACCAGAATCTTTCCAATGTCAATACTGAAAATATCTCATGAGTGTCTGAGCCTAACCTGGCCTAACCTTGTCCAAGGTGCTGTCTTTCACTCTATTGGTTAAATAATGCTCTCTCATCCATAAAAGTTCCTAACATCTCAGTAAAGTCTCCATGTACTTATGTAAGCATCTACCTCAGTATCTTAGTAAAATCTTACTCAAATGTATTATCTTACTCTGTTATCTTTAAATTTAATGGTATTTTGATTTATATTAGTCATTTATTGGATTTAATTAATTGAGTTCATATTTTTCTTAAGTTTATATTAATTATAGGATCATAACTAAGCTAATTATAGTTAATTATTATAATTATATTACTTTATGATTATTTAAGTCAGTATTAATTAATTAAGATTAACCTTGTAATTTTTTTGTCTTCATTAATTCCATATTCTTATTGAACATTATTCTTGTCAATCTTTATTGATTTTTGTTTTTACTTGTGTATCCTTCTTGTCTAACTACAGTGATCTTTATTTGACTTTTTTGTGTGTGTTTTTGTTATAGTTATTTGATATTTACAGCAGATATAGTATTTTAGTGTTGTGTAATTGCTTGCCTTATTGTATCTTGACTCCATTGCATCTACATGCAAGCTGATATTGATCCTCAACTAAATCTGCTCTCACACATCTACAATAACCACCATATTGATCATCACTACTGCACCTATTACACACCAAACTTTGCACAAAAAAAAAAACTCCAAAATAACACTTGCCTATCAGTTTTCAACCAAAATGTCAGATCACTTGGTAAAAAAATTGATGATATAAATGCACTACTCACAGCATTAGATACTAAACTATCATTTATTATTTTAACAGAGACCTGGCTAAGTAAAGACTATACTCAACTCTACTTTTTCACTTATTGTGTTGCATATAATATTACTTGATGTTGAATTATAATGCAACTTGCATACATTAAGTATACACCTGATTAATAGTGTCACAATAATGCACACACAAATGTTTTCAATTACGCCATGTATGTATTCACATTTTTCATTATTATATTTACACACATCCACTCACTATTTACAGGTTTTTGCAACATCATTGTACATTTAGAAGTCTTGGAGATAGTGGTAGTCATTGAAGCAGTTGACAGCGCACAACGGGACTGCACACACTTCACACCATATTTGCACTAGTTTACGTTTCTGTGGTCTCTCTTTTTTTTTTTTTTTGTTCTACAAACTATGCAATCACGTTGGTCTATATGCACGCTTTCCAACTGGTGGCAAATGTTTTAGTCTGTGTGCTTAAAAGGCCTCCGTGTAAGTGAGCCTGGGTGTAGCAGCATGTTGCAACACTGGGTTCATGATGGGGTCTTTGTATGCCAGGAATTTCTTTGCCAAACTTTGTTAGTAACTTTGTCAGAAGTGTAAAACCAAACGAACGGAAACTTGGTTTACGTCCAGTTTTCACCAGATACATATTGTAGCTGTTCAGCATGCTTACGTCAACCAGATGGAAAAACATTTTTCTCATCCACTTCAATGTTTTCCTAACACACTCGACAGCACCCACCATCATGTCACGTTTATCAACCAAACGCATGTTGATATTATAGTCAAGAAGACAATCTGGCTTATATACTGGTTGTTTTGTTACTCGGTTCACCTTGCCACTGTTCACCATTGTACCATCATGAACGGTTGTCAGCAAGTTCACTTCTCTCGTCTTTCCACCTAACTGAGAGTATTTAATCACTTTTTCTTAGCTGGCAGTCACCAACTTCAAGATTATTGTCAAACACTGGCATTTCTCGTCTTCTTGGCTTTACTGTGCCACACACTCCAGTTCTATTTTCAATCAAGAACCTAGCTAGTAAGGGACTTGTATAGTACTGTAGTTATCTGTGTATAAAATGTGGCCCTTGTTCATCCATGGTGCCATCAGTAACTTTACCACACTACCTGAGAAACCATGTTGGTCGTTACCGGGAATGTCTACATTGCTAATAGAATACAGAATCATGTGTAACACGTATCCTGTTTCACAGTCACAAAGAACAACGAATTTCAATCCAAATCTGTTGCGTTTGGAGGGAATATACTGCCTGAACCCAACACGTCCTTTGAAAAGCACAAGGGATTCGTCAATCACCAGCTTCTGTGCTGGTACGTTGAAATATCTGTACTTTCCAATCACTTCATTCATAATATGCCTGACTCTCCAAAGTCTATCAATCTCTGTCCGGTCTTCATTACTTGCAAAATGAAGACACCTGAGGAGTATCTGAAACCTGTCTTGGGACATATATTTCCCAAACTAAGGTGTTGGAACAGTCTGGTCTTTGCTCCAATAATCTGAGATAATATGTTTTACACAATGTTTCATCAACATACATAGTGCCAAAAATAAATACATTTCACCTACAGTGGTGTTTTTCCAATGCTGTAATCGTGAAAATTCTGTTATATTTTTCTAATGAGATGAGCTGCATGAAGGTTCGTTTGGTGTACAATATATTCCATGAGCGTCTCATCATTAAATGCTGTAAAATAGTCTATTTCACACATGTCCTCACCAGTATCAGGGAAAAGGTTTGTAATACCATCACTCCACACAAGTACACCTTGTGTCCTGCGAGACGAAACACCGGCACGACGGCGAAGAATCGTTGCACACCATGTACCAGGAGCTGAAGCCTGTCTATGCAAAGTACGGGTGCTATGTGAACATGAGGGTCTTGGTTCCTCATGTGGTGCCATGCGGCAGCGCTTGGCTGGGCGAGACGCTGCTGACGCGACAAAATCTCGCTTGGTAACACCACTGGCACTAGCGACAGGCATGGTAACACTATGTTCTGAATCCACCTCATTAAAAGCAGAAAAAGAGTCACCTTCCTCTGACTCGTCGCCCAAAATATTCTCATACTCTAAATAAGTACAAGAACTGTGTGGTCGTGCACGAATTGCAGTAGACACTGGGCGAGGAGGCACTGGTGAGCGTGTAGGCCCCGCCATGGGAGGAGGCTGTATCTCAAATTCACTCTGTGCTACTATCATCGGTCAATTGCGTGTAGTGCTTATCAATGTCAGAGTCATCAATGTCACATTCCTCACCATCAGAAAATAATTCACTAGTTATAATTCACTTAACTCTTGAGTAAGTGATTGAGTGGTGTGTGCCCGGGAGGCGTTTGGCCGTGCGCTCACCATGGTGACTTCTAGGTAACTGAGGCTTTCCACGCGATGGTGGCGGAACTGGATTTTTTCAAAATGGCGGCTGTTTACTATAGCCCCTAGGCAGCGTATGGGGGGCCCCCACTACCCCCCACTGGCTATTCAAATCTTGCGCGGTACTTCATTACGTCATGTGACGTGATGCGCACTTTTGCGTAAGTTACTCAAAAGTCATATGACGTGTTTTGCAGCTTAAGGGTTAAGTGAATGAGTATTACCTGATGCTTGGACAAAGAGTGTTATTGTTCATATCCCCAAACCACACTCAAATAATTATAGGCCCATATCTCTAACATCATGTGTTTGTAAAGTGCTTGAACACATTGTCCTTAACCAACTCACGTATCGTATACAGGGGCACCTGTCTCCCCAACTGTTTGGATTTATGCCTGAGGCTCAGTACACAACACTGTTTTCCTGACTACTTCACTCATATTGAAGCTTCCCCTCAAGCCGTCTTCATCAACCTAGCAGGAGCTTTTGATACAGCAAACAGGGACATCATGCTAGAACAGCTTGCTGAGCTGGGAATACAAGGAAAATTACTGAAATGGATAATGGGCTGCTGAAATGGTCTAATCGAACAGCATGTTTTGTTTAACCACTGTACTGTTCTGCATTAAAATATGACAACCCCTTGGTGCACAGAAAATAAATTCTTTCAAAACAATTATTTCTCTTCTTATATTGTTAAAAGAAGTCTCTGATCAATGAGAATACAGTAACTGGAAAAGTAGGATGCTGGATACTCAATTTCCTGTCGAACAGAACACAAAGAGTAACAGTCAATCAGATAAAATCGAGTCCAAGCGATGTTAAAAGCTCTGTACCTCAAGGTACAGTCCTTGCACTGCTACTGTTCCTTATTCTCATATCTGATATAGACAAAAATACACGTCACAGCTTCATGTCGTCCTCTGCAGATGACACAAAAATCAGCATGAAAATTACCTCTGCTGAAGACATTGAAAAACTACAAGCAGATGTCAACAAAGTTTTCGATTGAGCAGCAGAAAATAACATGATGTTTAACAGTGATAAATTTCAGGTACTCGGGTACGGTAAAAATGAGGATCTGAAACATAATACATGCCTAATTAAACAGCTTGTCTTATATACTCGCATTTGGGTGAGGTGATATGTTGCAACAGTTTTGTATGAGGTGAACAAACTTTTGACCAACACAAGACAGAACACGGAACATTGGGTATTAATTGGATAAATGAGAGGGAAGATTGGAAGTAACTGCAAAGGGCCTATTGGCCCATACTTACTCTTCATGCTTCTGGTATTCCGTACCAATATAGAACCTGCTCTTAGCATAATACATAAACAAAATTATTACATTTTTCTAAACATTTATTATGTTTTGATGGGAAAATTTAGTTATAGAAACCTTAAATGTTTTATTTCCCCTAATAGGTAATACGGCTTCCAGTCTCTGCTCGGCTACCAAGGACGATAGCAAACACAACTTCTGCCCATTAATGATGGTAAGAACACTTTTATTCTTACTGTACAAGAGGTGAGTGTGTGTGTCATGTTGATGTCATTAACCAGTTATGGTGAGCATATTAATCATGATGTTTACAGTAACTAGTGATAATGACTGTATTTATTATGTTTTCAATAACTAGTGATGGTGAGTGTATTTATTATAATGTTATTAACTAATGATGGTGAGTATTAATCTTGATGTCATTAACCCTTAAACTGCGCAACGCGCCTGCAGGCTCACGTCTGGTTTGCGCAACGCGCCTCCGGGTATTTGTATTTTTCACGTTCCATTCAAAACTCCCGCGGCTACATGGGGTTCACATCAGCTTCCTCAGGGCTCTTGTAAACAGACGCCATCTTTAAAAAAAATCGTGGTCCACATTCCCGGGTGTGGGAGCCTCAGTAGTGTGTGAGCAACCAAGGCTGGCGCTCGCAGCATGAGCGCACAGCACTGCTGTTCAGCATGTGACCACAGCATCGCCTAATAATGCCAAAATATATATATAACTTGTATTATTTAGCTATGATAGTGTTATATTAGAGCCTGAGTGTGATAATGACTGGGTACAATGTTCAAATATCAGTGATTCAATGCTGTTCACGATGTTCACAGCGCTAGCCACAGCACCACAGCATTATTTCGTTCATCTAGGAATCTTCAAATGATTTCTTAGGTTCCTTTTCAAAATAAACGTGTGGTCAATTATTCATTTACAGGAATTAGTGACCAGGATTGTGATAATAGCAGGATTGTGGTTATAATTAGCGTTGTGCGTAGTATTGTGGAAGGAGGAATTTTGATGAGGGAGGGCGATAATGGAGGTAGCCTCATTGTGTGTGTGTGGCTGCCACTCTTGTTTTGCTCACCATACTAGCTTAGTGGTTCGCTATGGGCAACACATATGTACATGGGTATATATAGTGTGTGTATATAGTGTAAGAACAGCAACAGGAGAATGTTGAGAGGAGCTATTTCGGTGAGGGAGGTGACGTAATCGTAGCGTCGTCTGCTGTGTGATTTTTCATGCAGTGTATGGTGGCCACTGTACTGTTTGGACACAATACCGGCTTACTTCCATAGTTCTGGTAAATAAAACATGTAGATAGGTATATAGAACATGTGTAATAAGAACTATAATAATATGGTGGGAGGAACAATGTTGGCGAGTAAGATGTTGGAGTGAGGGAGACTGGCTGGGTGAGGCTGCTCTCACTCGAGGTGTTCTGAATGTGTTCATGGTCAAATGCTCCTATTGGCCCATACGAGGCAGCTGCTATTGGCCCATACGAGGCAGCTGCTATTGGCCCATACGAGGCAGCTGCTATTGCCCCATACAAGGCAGCTGCTATTGGCCCATACGCGGCAGCTGCTATTGGCCCATACGAGGCAGCTGCTATTGGCCTATACGAGGCAGCTGCTATTGGCCCATACGGGGCAGCTGCTATTGGCCCATACGAGGCAGCTGCTATTGGCCCATACGAGGCACCTGCTATTGGCCCATACGAGGCACCTGCTATTGGCCCATACGGGGCACCTGCTACTGGCCCATACGGGGCAGCTGCTATTGGCCAATACGGGGCAGCTGCTATTTGCCCATACGAGGCAGCTGCTATTGGCCCATACGAGGCAGCTGCTATTGGCCCATACGAGGCAGCTGCTATTGGCCCATACGAGGCAGCTGCTATTGGCCCATACGAGGCAGCTGCTGTTGGCCCATACGAGGCAGCTGCTGTTGGCCCATACGGGGCAGCTGCTGTTGGCCCATACGAGGCAGCTGATATTGGCCCATACGAGGCAGCTGCTATTGGCCCATATGAAGCAGCTGCTACGCGGTGTTCTGAATGTGTTGATGGTGAATGTATATAGTGTGTAAATAGATTGTATATATACACAAATTAGCATGATACATAGTAAATATGTGCTGCATATGTGCGCACAAGTTTCATGCACGTAACACAGTGTCTACGGACAGTACGGATGTTGTACTGCGATATTATAGTGTACGTGTTCATTATACATTGGATTGGCACATAAAAACAATGAAAATGTATTTGGAAAGGTGCGCAAAAAATGAACGAAAATATATTCGCGGCAACTCGCGCACCCCGCCCCGAGCGCCCCACCGCCCCCGAGAGCTTACGGCACGGGCGCACGGGGAATGATGACGTCACGCCCCAACTTCCGGACCCCATAGCAGCCAAAGTAAGTACAATTTCGACTTTTTTTTTACATACCCATACTGAGGGAAGGGTTTTTGACACTTTAAAAAGAAAAAAGAATTTTTTCCAGAGAATTTATTTCCTTAACCAGTAATGGTGAATGTATTAATCATGGTGTTGTCATTAACCAGTGATGGTGAGTGTATTAATCATATTGTCATTAACCAGTGATGGTGAGTGTATTATTGTTATCACCCAGTGATGGTGAGTGTATTATTGTTATCACCCAGTGATGGTGAGTGTATTATTGTTATCACCCAGTGATGGTGAGTGTATTATTGTTATCACCCAGTGATGGTGAGTGTATTATTGTTATCACCCAGTGATGGTGAGTGTATTATTGTTATCACCCAGTGATGGTGAATGTATTAATCATGGTGATATTAACTAGTTATGTTGAGTGTATTAACCCTCTGAACTGCACATAGTGCCTTAATGCACTCAATCGGGGGTGCGCATAACCCCTTAATGCACTCGTAGATATATTGTAGGATTCAAAACTTGGGTACAAGATGGAGGCCTGAGGCTTCCAATGAGCATCCACCAGTTTGAAAAATATTCCCAGCATGCCCCACAGCCGTGGGCAGACTCATTTTCTGGCGGGAGCCCCTACGGCTCCCCGGAGCTATCCATGGCTGATATGGATACCCTAACTATTTTGCATCAGTCGATGTGGGTGGAGTTCTAGGCCTACCGGGGACCACGAGCCAGAACCTGGCCCCCTCAGAGAGGCACGGGGAGCAATGGCCCATAGAAATGCACATGTGATTTGGAGCATTCTATATCTGCCATCGACCGGGACAGGCACCCAGAAAGGTAAGCGCCACAAAACAAACCCCTATTCTGGTTAACAACAAAAATCGACAAACGAGTGGACAGAACTCCCCCCGGAAAACAAACTAACAAGCATGACGTCACACGAGCCGTGCCGCATGTCTGCGCAGCTCCCCCCTCCCCGGGAGGGGGAAGGGGGAGCCCCAGACCCCCGCGCCGGCGATCCCCGCCCCAGTTCCTCGGCTGATGGGATAATGCACGGTCGTGTGGCTCCAGCTCCAGTCTTGTCTCAGTGCTGTGACTTGTTTTCAGTGATGCTCTTACGGTGGTCGTGTGAGCTGGGAGTAGTATTCTCAGGTACTCGGGCTGCATGTGCTTAGGGTCACCTTCCCTGAGTGCCCTGTAAGTACCACCCTTGGGGCTTGGGGTTGCCTTCCACAAGTCACCTTGGGTCTACCTCTGTTGGCTTTTCGCTGCTTGGCGTTTGGCCGCCCCGAGTGTTTGGGGGTTTTACTCCCTTGTTTACCTTGGGGTAAGTGGTAGTTATAGCACTGGTGGGGCGCAGGGTACTGCGTAGCTAGTTTTCACCTATGACAGCGGCCGGCTCTGTTCCCTCTGGGTACGTTGTCCACTTGTGTGGTTTTTCTTTTATATTTGTTTTTGCCTGGTAGGGGGTCTGCCTTGTGTTCCCCCCCCCCCCTTATATTAGGTTCGTTTGTGTGGTGGCACCCCCTGCTTCGCCCTCACGGGTGGACACATCCCGTGGGTGGGTTCAGCTTTAGCAGTTTGCTTGGTAGTTTGGGGCGCCGGTTAGCAGTGCCCTGCCTGGGATAACCCTTAGCAGACCCAGTCTAGGGGCCCTGGAAAACCCCGCTGGTGCTCTCGGGTCCGATAGTGGAGACCCTTGCGTCCCCTCTCGCTTTGTGCGAGTTGAGGGTTGCTCTGTCCCTTTGTCTCAGGGTGACTCTCCTTGTTTTTGCCTCCGTCATGCTGCATTGTTGGGTCGGTGACACATTCGACCCTGAGTCCTGCGAGCTTTTTTGCTTGTTCGTGACTCCATTCACCCAGTCTGCTGATGAATTCCCATGGGTGCAGGCAGCTTGCGCGTTGCTGGGTAGGATGTTGCAACGCGCTCAGGTTTGTCGCTTCCCCGGACGCCCCGATGCTGCCCCGCTTGTGTAGGGACCCAGACTTGGGGGTTTTGGTCGCTTCGGCCTTGGTTCTTCCACGGCCCCCTTGTTTTTCCCCCTCCTGCTTCCGGCCCCTATGCATCTGCAGGCTTCGGGGTCGGGGCGGGGGTTAGAGGTTCTGAGACTTGGGCAGTTTCGGGGGTTGCCCCGTCCGGGGTAGCTGCGGAGGCATTCGAGTCTGTTCCTCCGGCGATGCTCCGGGGTCTGACCAGTGGGCCCCTTCTCTTCCAGCTCTCTCGGCTGCCCCGGCTTTTTCTTGTGGGGCCGGGGCTTTGGAGGTCGACTTGGCCCCGGGGCCTGGTGTAGAGGCTCCTGGGGTTGGGGAGGAGCGGCCTTGGGGTCCTTGGGCTCCATTGCGCCCCGCCTGGATTTCCGTCCTTCTGAGCGGGGCTTACTGTTGCGAGGAGTGGGGTTTTCTTTCCCCCCTCTGCTTACGATTTGGGCTTGGGTCCTGCTCCTCCCCGGGTTCGGTTCCGTGTCCCTGTGGTTTCTTCGGTTCCGTCTTCCGGAGGTTTTCGGCTAACCGCATCTCTTCGTCTGCGGTGCGGTTGGCCTTTGCGGCTTGCCTCCTGAGTGTCCCGGAGTTTGCCTCCATACTGGTTCGTTCTGTTCTGGATAGGTTGGGCTCCTTCTAGCCGTTTGGGCTCCTTGTAGCCGTTTGGGCTCCTTGTAGCCGTTTGGGCTCCTTGTAGCCGTTTGGGCTCCTTGTAGCCGTTTTGGGCTCCTTGTAGCCGTTTTGGGCTCCTTGTAGCCGTTTTGGGCTCGTTGTAGCCGTTTTGGGCTCCTTGTAGCCGTTTTGGGCTCCTTGTAGC